AATAAATAAAAAATTTTCCAAAACGAAGTTAATTTCTAATCTTTTCAAAAATAGTTTGATAAAGTATAATAGCCTCACTAACATACTGTTGTGTAATCTTTACATACTATTCAAAATAAAACATTTAAAGAAATAGGTTTTTACCAGAATTTCCCAAGATGGTCATTAAAGGGTAAACAGATAACATAACCTTAAATGGTGTTTTGACATTAAATTGCACCATTTTTTGCCAGGTGTTGCAACTTTACATTTTGGGTTTTTTATCAAATCTGATCTTATTTTTTCATTTTTAAATATTGTATTAGTGAATATATTTTGCAATTATGTAAAAAACTATGTTGTATATTAAAAAATTGGAAATAAACTACACAGAATTATTCAATTTGAAATTTATACAGTTTTATCAATAAATCAAGAAAATAATATTTTAAGAAAAATTTGAATTATATTTATTAATTGCATTATTAAATTCATTTTAATATTTGAAATTGAACAAATTGTTGTTAATCTTGTTAATAAACGATATATGTAGTTTTCCTCAATAAATTTTTACAGATTTCTACATTAATGCGAACCTTGCACTTTTAATCGATAGGTGGGGATAATGTAAACACGTTTCCGACAATCATTTTTCCACTGAGTGCTGAGAGGCGACTTTGTTTTTGACCGTAGGGATCATATGATCGTGTGCGCGTTCGGTAGTTCTTGGGGATCGTTTGTGTGGGTATCCCGAATTTCCGAACCGTTAAAATCGTATAAATCCCGCGGTGTTCATTCGACGTTGTCGCCGTCGTCAGTTTTGCAAAATTCCCCTTTGGACAACCGACGAATTCGGCCTCGAGTTTACATAGTAAAGTAAACTGGGGAGTACTGGGGGCAGCAGTGTTGCATACCCGTCTTTGACAGTGACTCTAAATTTTATCGTATTTTTCCTCCCTTGTGAACGTAAAATAACGAACGAGAGGGTTAAACGGAAAAAAGCGATTGTCCGAAAACCATGCTGGAAATATATGGTAAATAATTTGTTTTTAAAAATGTCCGTTTTTTCGTTCGGCTACGACGTGAAGATTGTCGATAAAACCGTCGACTCTCCGATACTCGTTTTATTGTATCTTACATTTCGCATATACGCCGTAATAATGGAGATTTTATCCCTTTCTTTGTTATAAGCTCTAAACAAATCTAATTCGTTTTAATAACCACACGAAGAAAAAAATTCCACCAAGAAAAAAAATTCACCAAAAAAAAACTCCATAATTTTCTTTTCGTAGCCTTATTTCATAAGGTTTCAGATAATTACTGCATCCGTTTTGTTCATATTTATCCCTTATACTAAAAAAGTTGTTTAAAATTATTATAATTTTAACTAATTCTAACCAAACATTTATAAAATATTTGACAGGTGACTGAACCCATGGTATGTACTGTCTTATTTTTACTCCCTTTTCATTAATTAATTTAATTAATGAATACAAATTACGTTTATAGTCGCAGGTACCCCATCAGCCTACTGAAGACACCGAAGGGAATGACTGTCGATAAGTGGAGGCAACCCGAACCTATCGTCTATGGCAGATCCAGCTAACCACTTTGCTGCTGCCAGCACAAGCCGTCGCAAGCGTGTGCTGCCGACGCAGCCACAAACTGAGGCCAAACGTGCTAGAACCAATTCTGAACAGAATTGCAATTCAGATACGCAAACATCGAAAACAGAATCAAATTTAAAGGTATATACAAAAATATATTAAAAAACTAGTTTCGTAAGACGCGTTTTTTATGCTATTTTTTATAATTCTCCTTTCTATCCTTTTTTTTTTTTAACAAAAATAAAAAAATTTTGACAATGTAGGGAAATAGGTATGTAGCAGTTGGTAACACTGTAACAAATTTGAATAATTGACAATTAGAAATTGTCAAAACACTAATTGTATTCACTTAAAAAAAATTTTCACATATAGTTCCTATTTTTTAGGCTTTCTGTTGGTATTATCTAGGACGCTTATATAATTTATGTTTTTTTCGAAAAAGCACGAACGTCAGTGTGACATCTATTTCAAAACATGATAAAACAAAACTCCCTGTTAATTTTGCCAACTTTACAACAATTTGACAGGTATTATAGAAAAAAAAATTAATTATACACCTCCCAAAATCAGAGAAATTGCTCAGAGTTCAATGTCCTCATCATTGTGGACCATATAAAACATCCATAGACAAAAATTGTCACATTGACAACTAAAAACATTAATGACCCAATGTCCCCAAGTTCAACTGGTTCCATAAAATGTTACTAAAATCTCATTACAGCATTAGATTCGGTAAGGAGTCTTATTACAGCACCCGTTTGAGTACTGTAATAGCTTTAATTACCGTCGCGAATTACAAAAATTACTTTGTCCATGACTACCTTATAATATACAGGGTGTGTCAAATGTCTGGAATATAGCCAATAACTTTGACATTTAAAGCTGTCAACGGCGTTATTTCGTCGCCTACATTGATTGTAATTTGTTGATAATATCTTCAGAAAACGCATTTTTTCTCGGTTTTTTTCTTATAAAACCATATGATTGGATATGTTCATTGCATTGAGGGATTTATCCTCTATCAAAGTATGCAAAAAAAACTAATGCATCCCATTTAAAATAACAATGTTGGTTGTCATAGCAACGAAACAAAAAACAATACAAACAAGCAAATATCGCAAAAAAATGTGCCATGATTAATAAAGAAACTTGTATTTAAAACATTTTTCTTTAAAATCACAAATGGCGAAATTGTTGGCTATATTCCAGACATTTGACACACCCTGTATATCTTGCAAATGACTTTTCTAAAATAAAAGGGTAGTCATTTTTCAAGAAGTGAATAATAGCGGTGAATTATAATCATTATACACTGGTAATCAACTTGACAGAGTAATAATAATGATTTGAAACGTCAAAATTTCAAAAAACATCAATTTAATTTAAATTTTTAAGACTTTCTAAAGGTTTGACATTAAAAAACGTAAACAAATTCTTTTTTCATACGATTTAAATATAAATTAATTAATTTTCGTAAAAAAAACATGACGTTTCATAAAATTGACATTTAGTTTTGACAAATAGTTGTGAAGTTGGTTACAGTTGGTAACATTGAATTTGTGTCACATTGACGTTTGAGCATTAATTCTAGTGATAGTGTAAAACCAAGGTCTATAGAACATAAGGTTACCCAATACCGATTCTCCTCCTCTGAGAGGCAAGGTGGGTCAGTGACGTAGCTGGTTCTATGAACAACACAACACGATGCGAGGTTTAAATATTTTATATAGACTGTACTACAGTATAGGCACGTGTATAGGCTATCTTTTATTCTGACTGTATCGAACCAGTGACGTCAATTTGCGGGGTAATAATCGATACTACAGAGGCATAGGGAATGAGGTAACCTTATGTTCTATAAACCTTGGGAATGAGGTAACCTTATGTTCTATAAACCTTGGTGTAAAACTACACTGTGTTAATTAATTATCGTAACCCACGTGACCAGTGTAACATCGGCTGCATATCTCAATATGTAGTGGTAGCTTGGATAATTTTAAATTAGTAACCAAATGTTGACAGCTATCCGTATTTTCTTAAACGTCCATTATTCATCAACCCCTTGATGATCGATATATTGTAACGACAAGTGCGTCGTTTGAACGTGAATGAACGCACAGTAAGAAGGAGATTTGAAGAAGTGGGGTTGAGATCATAAAAACCAGCAACTGGTCCACAGTTACTTGATCACAGTTTGCACGAGATCATGTTCAGTGGACCAATGCAGAGTGGCGAAACGTACTGTTATCAGAAGAGACGAGGTTCGGCTTGTACTCTCGAGATGGTTGAGAGAGAGTTTGGAGAAGAGCAGGAGAGCGTAATGCTCAGTGCAACTTCTCTGAAAGAGTACTATACCAGGGAGGATCAGTAATGGTTGAAGGATGAATTTGCTTCGAAGCACCTTTGAGCTTTGTTTTATTAAAGGCAATCTAAACGCGGCTCATAACATTGAAAAAATTTTGGCTGAAACGTGGTTTCTTTCAGCCCATTTATTGGTAACATACCTGGATGATTTCGATATCAGCAGAATGGAGTGGCCTGCATGTAGCCCTGATTTAAACTCCATACACATGTGGAATATGCTAGGGAGACGAGAATAGCCCTAGAAGAAGAGTGGAACCAGATTCTTAAAATGAAGATCAATATACCATTCAAGCGAGGGGAGGAAATACCCGTTATTAACATTTTGTTTGATTTACTTGTCACAGTTTAATACATTACCAAAGATTAAAGAGTTAACAAGATGCGAACTAGAGTGAGAAATTCTAGTTTTCAAAAGAGATAGAAAAGACATTCCAATTTAAATGTCCTGACAATAACAAACCTAACCTACAAATGTGCCAGTTGGTATATTCTAACCCATACAAGATGAGACGTTAGTGTGAGAAACTCTAATTTTGGAAAAAGATAGAAGACATTCCAATTTAAATGTCCTGACAGTAACAAACCATTCCAATCGAAAGGTCCATAGCGTTCAAGGTCATAAAAAATGGAAAAATGAGGAAGGTACATACAGAAATATTGGCACAGGGTAGACCTTTCAAATAAAAAAAACCTTATTCAAATCGAGTAATACGTTCAAAAGTTATTGCAGTTTGAAACTGGTCATCATTTTAGGTGATGCGTTTTTTATGCCGCTGAGTGTAGTATAATAACAATTAGAAACCTAGAGTATGCACTAAAAGACAAATTAATTTTTACAAAACATTTCTTAACCTTCAACCAGTATTAAAATGACGTTATGGTCAGATATCTTAAATTTCACATTGCAATTAAAAGAATGTTAAAATTGTAATAGATATGGTGTGGTGATTTAAAAATCATGTATTTTAATACTTTTAGTGTTAAGATAACATTCTTTTTTGTGTTAATCATTCTTTTAGATTAGATTCTCTTTAACAAATTTTCATTATCAACATTCCAATAAATCTAAGTTTATTTTTAATCTTAACTAAGAAATTATTTTATTTTTTTTTATTAGAGAAAATCCGACAGTAATCAATCCGTGCTGGACAACACAACAACAGGCCAGAAGTCGGAGGAGGGCCACGAGAGTACTTCAAAAAGACGTTCATACAGTTCTGGCCATCAAACTACTGCCCGTGGCAAAGCAACCACAAGCCATATACCAGTGTTAAAAACACGCCAATCTTATCAACAACAACAACAATTATTTAACAAAACAAGTCTTGACGACCTCAATATACTAGCGTCTTCAACCCCAATTGATAGCAGCAACCCGCGTCCCCACACTACCGACGGCCATCGCAACAACAACAGGCAAAACAACAATAACCCTTCAACTTCAGCGCTTCTAGACACTTCTTTGCTTCCTTCTTCGTCTCATTCAACACCGAAACAACGCAAACAAAGGAAACAACATAAAAGCGATTTATTAAATAGTAACGAAGAGGCAAATATAGATACCAATTCTAACGGTAAAAGAATTTAAATAAATCTTGATTAGATATTAATTTATTTTGATTTGTTTTTAGTAGGAACTAGAAATTCAGAACGTCAGAGGTCAACGCGTAGTTTGGCCTCGGTAAGTTTGACAAGTGAGAGAAGTTCACGAAATCGAGACTCATCGCCGAGGAACTTAACGTTCCCAAGGGAAGCACAACAGCAACAACACCGGTATCTGTTGCGGAGCCACGGCCGGGTGTCAGATCAAGCGATCAACAAGAGGACGGAGGCCGGCCCGAACCGTACGCGGCACCGAGAAGACTTAGCGCTGGGGGCCAGCAGCAGTCAACAGGGCAAGCGGGAGGCGGCCGAAAGCGAGCCCTCGCGACTCAACAGAAGCGGGGCTGTCTTACGGCGAAGCACTCGAAACAACAGAGCAGGTAAAAAAAATTGGTTTTAAAACACCAACTTAACCTAATAATCATACCTGAATTCCGGATTTCACTCATCTATTTCAAGTTAGATAAGATAAGGCAAATGTTATCGCCAAAAAATTTTTTTGCTTCATGTGTAATAGACCAAAATTGATTTAACCATGTTTTAACTGCCAACATGGAAACAATGATTGAAACAAAAATAGAATTATTAAATTATTATAAAGGTTTTTAATTTTTAATTAACCAGGTAGTTTTAGATTATGTTTTGTGAAGTGTTTATCGAAATTAGGTTTTTAGTGTTTGAGTATTTTTATTAATTTTTTTTTATTAAGTGTCTTTGTTTTGGTGTTTAGGGCAAAGCACAACAACGGGTTCGTGCGCAAGCTCCAGCGGTGCTAGTGGCAGCGCCCGAGGCGGACGGACATCCCGCCAACACAAGGTGGGCGCCGTGGGTGCCCCCGTACCGCTTACCACGCCTGCTACAACAGCCGCGGTCGCTATGGCAGCTGACCAACCAGATATGCCCAACAATGGACTCACAGGTACGAAAAGTAAACTATAACTAAAGGTATATACACCAGATGTTGCGATTTAGAACTTACACGTGGTGTTGGAAAAGGAAATTTTTTACAACATTTATTATTTTATTAAATAAGCAACCAAATAAAGTCCCTTCTTGTCACAACTACCTACAGTTAGTCACAAAAGTCTACATAACTAAGTAAATTCACTCCAGTTGAATAATACGTCATATTATTGAACATTTCGTTTTAAAAATATTTATTACTACCTTAATGTAGACAATTTTGAAACATAACTATTTTATCATAATACAATTTTAGGAAAAAATTTAAACTAAAATTAACAGCCCACAAAAGTCTACATACACATATAATATTATACAGGTCGCTGATATGTTGTATGGAAACGGAAAGTAAGATAGCTAACAAAAAATGTTAAAATACAAAAGTTTTAGTATTCTTTAAAATCTATTACAATAAAGACAAAGTAAGTATACAGGGTCACTCAAAAAGTTATGACGAAACCAAGTTGTGTTTCCTTTAATGGAACACCCGGTATGTTATTCCATATTTCGGTTTATCTCGAAATTTTTAACAAAATTCATGTAGCACATCGTAAACCTAAACTTAACCGTTTTCGAGATCAATCACTCTTATAAATTACACAAAAATATTGTTGTCGATTATGTTCATAATTCATCAAGTTACCTTTGAAAGGTTCTCATCTCCATAGCAACGTAGTACCATAACACGTCAAAAATACAAAAATAGTTCGTAAATTCGTAAATTTTTAAGAGCTCCATATCTGGTTAACGGTTACGTTAAGATCAATGATGTGTTACATGAATTTTGTTTAGAATTTCGAGATGAACTGAAATATGGAATAATATACAGGTGTTCCATTAAAGAAAACGTAATTTTGTTTAGTCATAATTTTTTGACTGACCCTGTATACTTAATTTGTCTTGTTATTGTAATAGATTTTAAAAAATACTAAAACTTTTGTATATTAACATTTTTCGCTAGCTATCTTACTTTAGGAGATAAGTGACCGTTTCCATACATATCAGCGATCTTGTATAATATACAGGATGTCTCACGTAACTAGTTCGTTAGAACTTTTTCAGGTTTCACTATTCGTAGAGATTTGAAATTTTGGCAACATGGGTTGTTCATTCAAAACTTTCGATCTAAAATATTTTCAAGATAGCCGCCACTTCCGGTCTACCGGAAGTAAGTAGACCATAACTTCGTTATTTTAAATGGAATGCTATAGTTTTTATTACACCATTGAATTGTACGTAAAAAATAGGTTGACGTTCATAAAAATTATTGGTACCTAACGTTTTTGGTTTTCGAGTTATTTTGGTTTTAAGCTTTTTTGGTAAATTTCACCATGCTCTTTAAAACCCAGCCAACATTCATTCAAAAAAGGTCTAAATTGGCACGATTACTCTTCAGATGCTGTCAAATAGATTGTCATTTGTTGTATGCTGGTCAAAAATTGAATTACTGTTTCTTTATTTTCAATGGCGAGAAAGTAAAAAATTTTAAATGGAATGCCCATATTTTTTTAGCCTATCAGAAAGGGAATTTAATTCTCTACAAATTACCTATAAACATTCCTATACCTATTTATTATAGTTTCTCTCACATTGGAAAATTAATCAAAACATTCAGGAAATCGTTTGTACTTTTATAAGATTTATTTCTATTATTATTTGTACTATTAACTACGATTGATAATCTTTCAGTTTACTAGCTTTTATTTCTTATAGGTCCACCTTGCAAATCCAGAACTTACAATAAAAATCTAAGTTTCTTCTTTTCGTACTTTTTATTACTTAAACTGGATACTTTATGTGTTTTTATTCAACTGGTTTCGGTCTTTTCTATAAAACCATCTTCAGGACCTTCGAATTACGTCAATTTAATATTAAAAATCTTATTTTGGTATTTAATCAACATGTTTCAATTTTCTCTTCTCTATTAAACTTTTATAACTATTCATAAATTACTTTAAATTAATTTCTAACGAGTATCTTTTCTGTTTTTAGATTTTCTGTAATTTTTAAAACTTTTACAACATAGATTTTTATTACAATTGATAAAAATGGAAAGAAATAGCCTGCCTGGAGTCGTCTTGGTATAGAAAGAACACGATTCTCTATTACACTGACTGATATTTCAGCCTAAGCTTTGTTTAACGCATCTTTTAACGATTGCTTATTTTTAACATTGTATTTAAGGACCCTTCGTTCTACCTCATCCCAAATGTGCTTAATAGGGTTGAGATCTGGCGGTTGAGGAGGTAAATGTAGTTGCTTTGATACATTATAAAGAATCCATTCTGGGACAACATGAGCGGTATGCTTAGGGTCGTTGTCTTGTTGAAAGACCACCGATTTCCAAGCCTTAAGTGCTGTGCTGATGTTTTCAAATTGCCTTCCAATATTTCCAAATACCGTCTATGGTCCATGATACCATCAATAAAAGTCAAATTTCCTAGCTCAGAAGCCGCCATCGAGCACCAAACCATTATCGACCCTCCACCATGTTTAATGCTTGGGAGCAAATTTCTTGCTTCCATTTTTCAACCCAACCCAAATTTTTCCTCTACCAACCGATCCGAAAATATTATACTTACTTTCGTCAGAACTGTTTTCCAAGATTCAAAGTCATTTGTAAGATATCTTTTAGCAAATTCAATCCTTTTCTGCCTGTTTTGTTGAGAAATCAAAGGTTTTCTTCGTGGAACTCGTCCATTAAATCTTAACGCTCTACTTTGAGTTTTTGGATGCATGACTTTATGGGTAGCTTGTTGAATTTCTTCTGTCAGTTCAGGATTCTGGGATTTTGTTTTTTAGAATTGTCCGGATATCACGTTTTAAAACTGTTGGACCACCACTGCGTAGTTTATTTAATACACTTCCATTTCAATTAAAATTTTTTATAATTGTTTGGATTGTTGCTCGACTTTTACCTATTTCACCATATGATTTTCCCTCATTTCTTAACTTTATTATTAAATGACGAACTTCAACCGATATTTCTTTTCTTTCCATATTATTTTAAATAATATTCACTACTAAGTTAACTAGAAACTATAACATAAACTTTTTAAACATAAATATTAACTAAAAATGTCTGTGTAAGCTCTTTTATATCAAATGCGTTAGTATTCAATTTTTTGCTCTGTCTATGCTCTATAGATAGATTTTTACATAGACTTGATTTAGTTTTATTTTATGTGTTATGCTTGTCAATAATAAACACAAGTAATTTTAGATGTAATACAAAGATGAATTTAATGGACTAACTGTATATGAAATTCAATGAAAAAGTCTTGTTGACGTTCGAAAACATTAAAACAGTTTTAAAGAATGAAAAATTTTACTTAGAAAACGATTAAAAGTCAATCATTGTATTTGAATAATAAAACTTGGTTTCAATTTACAAACTCTTGATAACGTCTTATGTATCGGTATTATTAATGTGTATTATCTTTGAAGTTATCGTCTCAGGATTACATACACAAGCAAACTGATTAAGAAGAAACAATATCAAAGAAAAAATAAAACAATCGCAATAAATTTCTTATTATTATTATTTTTTTTTAGTTCTAAACATTCATTTGCAAACGTAAGTTGCAAATCTTTTTTATTTATCTGCTTTTAATTAATTTTGTAATTACTTCTCCTTTATCTTGGTGTCATATCATGTTTGCCAACATAAAAAACTTGCCATTACAAACTCTTATTGTGTAATTAACAAAAAGACATAGTAGGTTGTTTCTATCAAATTAAAATATTCTCTGTCAATTTTTTCTAAAATGTCCCTGACAGTTTGTTATTTCTTAAAAACGGAACCAAAATAAAAACGATGGAATTTTTCGACATGTTGCAATATTTCGCTGATTTACAACTTTTAGATAGAAGTAAATACCGTTGAAAAAAATTAAATATTCACTGAGTGAAAAAGTTTTTAATTGTTTTAGCATCTGAAGAGCCACCATCACCTCAAGAAGCAACTCAAGCGACGGCGAGCAGCGGGGGTCCTTCCGGACCCGGAGCGGACTCTGAAAGCGATGACAGCGAAGTTGGAAGATTACAAGCTCTCTTGGAAGCTAGGGGGCTCCCGCCCCATTTATTTGGAGCTTTAGGTCCTCGTATGCAACATCTTTTACATAGAAGCATGGGGGCTGCTAATAGTTGTAAGTCTTAACATAAAAAAAATTAACAAATAACATTAAAAAAAAATTTTTTAGCGGCTACAAAGGCTCAACAACTTTTACAAGGTCTTCAAGCGACCGGAGATGAAGGACAACAACTTCAAGCGGTTATAGAAATGTGTCAAATGCTTGTTATGGGAAACGAAGATACTTTAACTGGTTTTCCAATCAAACAGGTTGTTCCAGCTTTGATAAATTTGTTGAGAATTGAACACAATTTTGATATGGTAAAAAAAATTTTAATATTTTGATTTTTTGAAAATTAATCATTTTTTTGCAGATGAATCATGCATGCAGAGCATTAACTTACATGATGGAAGCGTTACCTCGTTCTTCTAGTGTTGTAGTTGAAGCAGTTCCTGTGTTTTTAGAAAAACTACAAGTGATACAGTGTATGGATGTTGCAGAACAATCTTTAACTGCTTTGGATATGTTATCAAGGAGACACTCAAAGAATATTTTGCAAGCTGTAAGTACTTAAAAGCATTCAATAACTTTACGGATACTTAATAATTATTAAATATAAAATTTAGGTATCTAAATAAATTAACTTCTTTCTTGCTAAAGAATTTCATCATCAGCTGAATCCACAATATTAAAAATAAATAAATAAGAAATTAACTTAAAACAAATGAAAAAACTTACTGTCAAAAATGAACAAAAACTCAGTCATAAGTTAAATAAAATAATAAGTAAAATTTTTAAAGTAAATCTAATATGAAAATCTATTTTTGGGTTTTTATTGTTTTTAATAATTTCATAATATTCAAGTAGATCCATTTTATGACCTTTATTGCAACGATGTAAAAGTTTAACTCCTTTAACAATTATTATAGATCATTTTAAAAAGAAAGCTTTGAGCTTTAATTTAGAACAAGTCTCATTCCTTAATTTCAATAAATACGGCTTCCAGGAATTTTTAAATTAGCATCTTCTTTGACACTTTTAGGTTATACGAAAATGTAAGTTTTGTTTCAACATTTTTTTTCTCAATATTTTTCCAATCCAACCCTACAATTATTATAGATCATTTTAAAAAGAAAACTTTTAGTTTTAATTTAGAACAAGTCTCATTCCTTAATTTCAATAAATACGGCTTCCAGGAATTTTTAAATTAGCATCTTTTTTGACACTTTTAGGTTATACGAAAATGTAGGGTTTGTTACAACATTTTTTTTCTCAATAATTTTCCCATCCAACCCAACAATTATTATACATCATTTTAAAGAGAAAGCTTTTAGCTTTAATTTAGAACAAGTCTCATTCCTTAATTTCAATAAATACGGCTTCCAGAAATTTTTGAATTAGCATCTTTTTTGACACTTTTAGGTTATACGAAAATGTAGGGTTTGTTTCAACATTTTTTTTCTCAATATTTTTCTAATCCAACCCAACAATTATTATACATCATTTTAAAGAGAAAGCTTTGAGCTTTAATTTAGAAGAAGTCTCATTCCTTAATTTCAATAAATACGGCTTCCAGGAATTTTTAAATTAGCATCTTTTTTGACAGTTTTAGGTTATACGAAAATGTAGGGTTTGTTTCAACATTTCTTTTTCTCAATATTTTTCCAATCCAACCCAACAATTATTATACATCATTTTAAAGAGAAAGCTTTGAGCTTTAATTTAGAACAGGTCTCATTCCTTAATTTGAATAAATACGAAAGCTTTAAGCTTCAATTTAAAATATTGATTCCAAAGGCCTTTACTGAGTGTGTTTTGATAGTGTTTTAATTCTGTCATAAAGTTTTAAAATTTTTGACTTCTTGAGACACAAAGGGTTAAATACCTAAATTTTATATTTTATATTTAATTACTTTTATAACTCGCAATATGGATTTCCAAAGATTACTAATTATTTGTAGAGAGGTGTCTCGGCGTGCCTTATGTACCTGGATTTCTTTTCGATAAACGCACAACGAAACGCGCTGTCGGTGACAGCAAACTGTTGCCTGAATCTCTCATCGGAAGAGTTCCAATATGTAGCTGAATCTCTTCCGTTATTAGCAAACAGACTGACGCAACAAGACAAAAAAAGTGTCGAAAGTGTGTGTTTGGCGTTTTATCGTCTCGTCGAGAGCTTCCAACTCGAACCGGCTCGTCTACAGGAAATTGCTAGCTCCGAATTATTAACGAACCTTCAACAATTGCTCGTTGTGACACCGCCCGTTATCAGCACTGGAACTTTTATAACCGTTTTGAGAATGTTATCGATTATGTGCGCAAACTGTCCTGATTTAGCTCTAACACTTTTGAAGCAAAATATTTCTGAAACTTTATTATATTTGTTAACGGGATCTGCCGAAACTAATCAAGATGAAGTTGAATTAGTACCAAGGTAAATTAAAATTATTAATACAAAGAGATACTTAATTTATTTTAAATTTTTTATAGACAACCTCAAGAACTATATGAAATAACAACACTAATCGGGGAATTAATGCCGAAACTACCATCTGATGGAATTTTTGTTGTTGATTCACTTTTAGAACGTCCTGCAAGCGCCCAAAAAGACCAACCGACATGGCAATGGCGCGACGATCGGGGTTTATGGCATTCTTATGGCCCCGTCGATAGTCGTATGATTGAAACTGCTCATCAAGCGGGTGACGACGAAGTTAGTTTAAACACTCTAGGTCGTACTTACACAATCGATTTCCATTCTATGCAACAAATCAATGAGGATACAGGTACAGCTCGCCCTGTTCAGCGTCAAATCGCGACCGCGGCTACATCATCAATTCAAAATGTCGCTGGGTCTCAACCACCTTCAACAACAACCGAAACGGCTTCCGGTGGAGGGATTGGAAATCGACCGAATTCCGCGAATAGAGATGCTCGTGTTGCTTGTTTACGCGAAGAACGTGGTTTGGCAGCCGCTTTTATTCGTTCATTATTTTCGGTACTGTATGAAGTGTATTCGTCGAGTGCTGGTCCAACTGTTCGTTGTAAATGTTTAAAAGCCTTATTAAGGATGGTTTATTATGCTTCGCCAGATTTATTAAAACAAGTTTTAAAGAATCAAGTTGTTAGTAGTCATATTGCTGGAATGATGGCTTCGAGCGATTTAAGAATCGTTGTTGGAGCATTACAAATGGCCGATATATTAATGACGAAATTACCGGATGTTTTTGGGGTGCATTTTCGTCGTGAAGGTGTGATGCATCAAATTAATCAATTAGCGGATCCTGAAGTGCCATTAGGTGTTAGTCCACCGAAATCGGCAAATTCCAGCTCGTCGTTTTCAACGAATATGAATGATTCCCAACAACCAGGCCCGTCCAGTACCCCAGCAGCGCCTAATGGCACACCTTCAATAGCTCCCTCAGGTATTGGTTATGTAGGTGGTGAAACTAACAAACAACCATCATCTGGAGCAACAAGGGAAGGTCGATCACCGAGTCCATCGCATATGCGTACATTAAGTGACGTTTTGAAACGGAAACGTGTTAATAAGCGACCTAGTGCCGGGAGATCTAAATCACGACATGATGATTTACCGATATCTCCGTCACTCGTTCAAGATTTATTTAGTAAAGCGACGTCGATTGGAAATTCGACGCCGAATAATCAGTCCAGGTCGAGGTATTCAAGTTCCAGCTCGAAAACGTCAAGTTTCTTACAAAGTTTAAACCCTGCCAGATGGGGGAAAAATATTAACACTTCTCCTCATGATAGAGGTTATGGCAAAGATAGTTTAAATAGTTGTCTTGGAAAATCAACTTCTAATTCTAATCTTACTGCTGGAAATAGAGAAAAAACTAGAACTTGGGTTAGAGAACAGGTAAGAAATTATATATTATGTAATGTGATATAATAATATCTTGGACTTTGGATATAACGGATAAAATATTTTAAGTCATATTATTAATATTATCTATTTAATAATACATCAGTATATTTAAATATAAATGTTAGCGCTCATAGATAGAATCTAACTTGGGTTGTTCCCTAAGTTGCTCTATCCCATGTTTATAGATGAACTTAGGATATTAAAACTAGACCTATAACTACAAAGTTTCGCGTTTAGCCATGCGTCTTCAGGCAAGTCTTGGTCCACGATACGATAAATTTAACTGTCATTTCATTTTTCTTAATTTTTGTCCTAAATAATGAATAAATCGCAATTTCTTTGGTGTGAATTTACTTTACTATAATAGATAAGTAATATCAGTTATGGATCGGAAGTTGCTCCCCATATTATTATCTAGTTACTATCAAGTTACTACAATCTAGTTATTTTTCCAGCATCAACCTAATTTTTTTCCCCCAGGTTTAGGTTGGCACTGCTCCCTATACTTATAACATTGGAGCGTGACGTCAATAAATCGCAATTTTTTTGGTGTGAATTTACTTTGCTACGAGTAGATAAGTAATACTAGTTCTGGATCAGAAGTTGCTCCCCATGTTATTATCTAGTTACTATCAAGTTCCTGCAATGTAGTTGCTTTTCTAATATCAACCTAATTTTTTTCCCCCAGATTTAGGTTGGCACTGCTCCCTATACTTATAATTGGAGCGTGACGTCATAGGGGGAGCATGGGGAGCAACCTCCGGTCGAGAACCGGCGTTACTTATCTACTACTTAAAAATGAAAACATAAGTTTCGTCATTTGTAACATTTTTGCAAAATATTCGCAAACCGTGCAATATAAAATTTATACATATCGAATTTGGAGTTTCCATCTTGAAATTTATACGCCACAAAAACCTATACCACAACCGATGGGACATCCTGTACAACAATCTAATGCTAAATAACAACTAAAACTAGAACTAACAGTAGATCTAGAACTAGAAACATTCGGGTTTAGCCGTCTTAACCCTTTCGATCACCCAGTCCACTGTAATGTAGACCGCTTTTCGATTTTTTCTTAATTTTTTCGAAATTTCAGAAAAATGACAAAAATTAAGAAAAAAATAAGTAATATGTGTACCAAATTTTATAATTTTATCACGACAAATAAAAAGTCGTGACTGAAAGGGTTAAGGGACGTACGGCTAAACCCGAATTTTCTAGGTCCAGTGTTAGTTATAGTGACAGTGCTAAGTAGCGCTAGTTAGCACTAGATATCACTATCATATTTTTATTGAACTAAAACTAGAACTAACACTAGAAATAGAAAGTTTCGGGTTTAGCCGTACGTCTTTAGAAGATACGATAATTTTTTTCCCCCCAGGTTTAGGTTAGCACTGCTCTATATACTTATAACATTGGAGCGTGACGTCAATGTTCTAAGTATATAGCGTGCATTTCTTTTTGGTGTGAATTTACTTTACTATGATTAGATATGTAATGCCAGTTCTGGATCGGAAGTTGTTCCCCACGTTGTTATCTAGTTACTATCAAGTTACTGCAATCTAGTTACTTTTCCAATATCAACCTATTTTTTCCCCCAGGTTTAGGTTGGCACTGCTGCCTATCGGTGCAGATAACGCCCTCTAGCTTATTTGTTTTAAACCAAGCGGTCTTACTGAAAATATCTTTTAAAAGACCATGAAATGCTCTTTCAAACAAGACCAAATATTCAAATCGGCGATCCGGTATTATCCAAGCTACTAAATGATGTTGTCAAAGTTATAGCTCATCGTCTAACTTTCTGAGATAGCGGGAATTTTATGTTTCTCTATGGCAGTTACGCCCTCTAGCGATCGAATTACGAACTTCAAAATAATTTCCAGCTATTTCTCTTGCCCACTTTGCTTATAAGGTTTTTGTTCCAAACCTATAGGCCTTACCGTTGCCGAGATACAGCCGCTCCGTATCCTTAACGGGACACCTGTATATAAATGGAGTAGTGGGACCGAGTAGGGCTTCCAAAGCAGCCGTCTGACAAGATCTCATTGCACCCGTTATATTAAGACATGCTAACCGCTGGATTTGTGCCAGCTGTTGTTGTGTTGTCTTATGTTTGATGGCCTATTTCCTCACCTTGTCTAAGTGTGAGTTCCAGTTTAGTTACTACCTTCAATGGAGAGTGTTTTTATTTGTAGCTTCCTTCTCCGAGTGAAAGGAACTCTTTCGATTTTATTTGGATTGATGCTGAGCCCATTGCTTATACACCAAGTACTGGTGAGTAGTAGGGCTTTCTGCATTAGTTGAGTTATGATTGTATCATATTTACCTCGGATTGTGATTACCAGGTCATCAGCATACCTCTGAATCTTGAATCTATTTTTTGTTAGAGTGTTCATCAAGTCATCAACTACCAGGCACCATAGTAGAGGTGATAGCACTCCCCCTTGCGGACTTCCTCTTAGCGCCTTTATAGTCAACGACTCGCCTCCCAGACTGGCTGTGATCTGCCGACTTTTCAACATGGCTATACACCATTTGATTGTTGACGGATGTATATCTTTTACGTTTAGAACCTTCTCTATGGATTCATAGGAGGTGTTATCAAAAGCACCCTCTATGTCTATGAAAGCACATAGGGCTGTCTTTGGTTGCAATAGCCTCCTCTAAAGTGCTAGTCAAAGCATGGAGAGCAGTAATTGTTGATTTTGCTTTCTGGTAAGGATGTTGGGTAGGGTGGAGTGCATTAGTGACAAGCACTCCATTTCTAAGGTATTGATCGATTACCTTTTCCATCCCTTTGAGGAGAAATGAAGTTAAGCTAATTAGTCTGTATGCGTTGGGGTTGGCGTTTGAACGCCTACCACCTTTAGGTATGAAACCTTTCTGGGTCCAGTGTTAGCTATAGTGACAGTGCTAAGTAGCGCTAGTTAGCACTAGATAACACTATCTTGCATATTTTTATTGAACTAAAACTAGAAAGTTTCTAGAATGTTTAGAATGTTTCTAGTTCTAGGTCTAGTGGTAGTTCTAGTTTTAATGGTAATTCAGTGCTAGATTGTTGTATATTTTTATTGAACTAAAAGTCGGCCAGTGTTAGTTGTTATTCAGAGCTAGATTGTTAAATATTTTTATTGAATTAACTAATAAAGAACGTAACGGTGTGGATAGCTATTCGAATTTGTGCGCATTAAAATTATTCATTCAAACAGTTTAAAATGCAAATTAAACATTTTTCATATAACAGAGACAACATTCCCAATATTAATCCGTTATATCGCGGTTTTACTGCATATTATATTAATTTTTTAATAAAATATACTTATATTCTAAAAAAATTTCTTTCTTTAGGCTGTGAAGTTTTTAGAAACATACTCAGGCAACGAAGTATCTGGAACTCAACATCCGGCACTTAACGTACTATCAAGATTAACATCATCAATACAAAAATTATCACGCGAAGATTGCGGTATAGCTTTAAACGAATTGAAAGAAATTCTAATAGATTCCGATATATCCCCATTTGAAGTGAATCATTCTGGTTTGATAAAAGCCCTTTTAAATTATTTAGCCGCGACTGAAGGTTGCGTTGATCGCGATCAACGTTTACGTATTTTCATGCACGTTTTTGCTGGTTGTCCAACCGAAAGCAACTCAACCGAACTGACTGAGATTAAATCTGAATGGATGGGTGCTTTAGTTATTAAATTGAATGGATGTATATCGCAATTGGAACAATTTCCGGTTAAAGTACACGATTTGCCAGCGAATTCCGGTGCCGGTAGAGGCGGAACTAGCGCTTTAAAATTCTTTAATACCCATCAATTAAAATGTAACTTACAAAGACATCCGGAATGTACGAATTTAAAGCAATGGAAAGGTGGTACGGTTAAAATAGACCCATTAGCACTTGTACAAGCAATTGAAAGGTATTTGGTTGTTCGAGGTTATGGAAGAGTGCGTGATCGTGATAGCGCAGATTCTGATGATATAGATAGTGGTGATGATGATATCGACGATTCTTTAGCTGCCGTTGCAATTTCACAAGCGGGATCAAAACATAAATTACAATTTTTAATTGGAAATAATGTGTTACCTTATAGTATGACGGTTTATCAAGCGGTTAGACAATTTAGTAATAACGGAAATGATCAAAGTGAAACTGATACTGATAACGAAACGCCGCTGGGTAATGCCGGCGTTTGGGTTCAAACGCACACGATTTATTATCGACCATTAAAGGAAGAACCAGCAAGTTCCAGTAAAGTTAGCGCCGGAAGTTCGTCGTCGTCGCATTCGAGTCGGAAAGGAAAAGGATCGAGTGGTAAAAACGCGTCGAGGAAGAAAGGTGATGAATTATGGAACGAAGGAATAGTTCCAGCAGCGCAATCACCATTAGTTCCGTTTTTGACCACTTCTTTACCGGAGTCGGTAACAATCCAAGATGCTTCTCTCGAAGTTTTATGTCTCCTTAGAATATTACACGCTTTGAATCTTCATTGGAATAGTCTTTATCCGTCGATTGAATACAAGCCGATTTTGCCGACTTCCGATTTTCTTAATGTTAAAATTGCCGCTAAAGCGAGCAGACAACTTCAAGACCCCCTCGTTATAATGACGGGTAATTTACCGAATTGGTTACAACAAATAGCGTCCGTTTGTCCGTTCCTATTTCCGTTTGAAACCAGACAATTACTATTTTACGCCACGTCTTTCGACAGAGACAGAGCATTACAAAGACTGCTTGATATGGCACCGGAATTAACGAGTAGCGATTCTCAGGAAAGGGTCACACCACGGCTGGATCGTAGGAAGAGGACCATTTCTCGCGAAGATATTCTTAAACAAGCTGAGTATGTGATGCAAGATCTCGCCTCATCGAAAGCTTTGTTAGAAATACAATACGAAAACGAAGTGGGGACCGGATTGGGACCGACTTTAGAATTTTACGCTTTAGTTTCAAAAGAATTACAACGCGTCGATTTGGAATTGTGGCACGCTCCGGGTGCTTCAGAGGAATACGTTTATAATAACACTGGGTTGTTTCCGGCTCCAGTTCAAAAAGGGGCAAAAGTCGCTCATTTAACCAAGGTTCGATCCAAATTTCGTTTTGTAGGAAAATTTATGGCGAAAGCGGTTATGGATTCGAGAATGGTAAAATGCTTTTCTTGTTTATTTTTAAGTGAAATTATTTAAAAAAATTTTTTGTTATTTAGTTGGATTTGCCGTTTTCCTTAATATTTTACAAATGGTTATTAAATCATGAACATTGTCTTTCGTTATCGGATTTGGCACATATCGCACCGGAAATTTATAAAAATCTGAGGAAAATGCAAGAAGTCGTTAGGAAACGTGATGGGATACTTAGTGATGCGGAATTGGGAACTTCAGAAAGAAATTCTATGGTAAAATAATATATTTTTTATTCGTTAAATAATATTATAACATAAATTAATTTTTAACCACAATGTTAACCTTTAAGGACCAATACAGGGTTTTCCAAAAGTAACGGATAAATTCGTAACAATTTATGGAAAAATCTCTGAGACGGGTCTAAAGATTTAAATCTTTTGCAATTCTTTGGTATAAATTTAAAAAAATTTCCGCTATTTTTAAACGAGTAATGACGTCATCAATATTTTTTTCAAATAGCAGTGAATGCCCCATTTCTATCTCGGAATATGAAAGAGGACTTTTTCTGAATCTAGTACAGTCAATATTAATATTGGTTACAAAAGAAAATGTTCGAGAAAAATTATCTTAAAGTTGCATAATTTTCCATTCATTTGAGATAGAAAAAAAGCAGTAGCTATGGGTAACCATGGCAACCAACTGTTTCAGATATCAAAATTTAATCATTGTCTAAAGCTGGCTACACACGTAACTGCAAACTTGGCAAGTATGCATGATCAATCTTTTTGTACAAGTATGCTTTAGCGCTTGATGATGGATTGAATTTTAAAGGTGGCTACACACGTAACTGCAAACTTGACAAGCATGCATGATCAATCTTTTTGTACAAGCATGTAAAATTCAATCCATCATTCGGATTGCACAAGCAAAATGTTTGTGCAAAATTATCCTACAAACGGTAAGGCATACTTGTCAAGTTTGCAGTTACGTGTGTAGCCACCTTTAATAAAATATCTAATACTGGTTGCCATGGTTACACATGGCTACTGCTATTTTTCTACCTCAAATGAATGAAAAATCGGTTTAGGACAAATCTAGATCCATGATGAACCTTAGTATTGTTCCAAGGTCTTGTTCTTTTATGTCAGTATAAAATATTAATATGTGTAAATGTTAGGCGAACCTTTCGGAAAACCTTTCGTATTTTAGAGGCGTATGGAAACCTGACAGCGGCTTTAGATGAAAGTTCTGAAGTATAAAACGTCTTTGGTTTTCTGGAGTTATCATATTCTTCACCTGTGTCCTGGAAATTCTTACCAGCACAAAGTTACCTTTTAGTCCATCTATGTTATCTGTTTTAAGTGGCTCTTTTGTAGTCTACAGCCGGGTTTGTTCTTTGGCCAGTTGAGCCAATACAAGACGTATCTACGTCATCATGCTTGGTTCTACAGCTCGTTGGGATCTTTCACAAATCGTCTTTTTGACCTCCTGATCGATCTTTTATTCACAAGTCCATGGAGATCAAAGATAATTCTTGTGGTACTTTTTATCTCCAATCTGACTACACGGCCAACCCATCACAACCTTTGCACTTTGATAAATTTAACTATCTTTGACTTACAATATAAAAGATATAACTCGAAGTCACCAGACATAGCTGTCATTAATAGTGCCATATACAGCCTGTTTCAGAGTTACTATCAAAATACTTGGCAGTTCTTAAAAATTCATTTCTTTCCCCATCAAATAGCAAACTAACATTTTAATCTAGTAGCTCATGAATGTTTTACACTCGATGTTATTGAAGAAATACTATCGTAAAAAGAATGTTTTTAAATATTAATAATAAAAAAAAATTATGGCATTCCATTTAAAAAAAAAGTTGAAAGTCGCCATTTTGAAATAATTCGTCCAATTGACAATCTGGTATCACCATCGTGTAGAGAATGTCCTAAAACATATTACTGTCAAATATTTTGAAAGTAGTACCCATAGTCTGGCTAAAAAAAATAAGGCGCTTATTCTGAAACAGGCTGTATTCTTCTAAGCACTTTCTTCTCGACTCTCTCTACTACCTCTTGATCTTTCTGTACTAAGATCCATGTTTCTGACTATTGGACATATTAAGGTCTTGCATAGGACTAATTACATTTTCTTGGTAGCTCAGATGTGAAGCGTTTTAAGTCCCTGGAAGCATTGGATTATCCTCTTTTCTATTTCCTTAATGACAGAATTTGTATTATTCATCAGGGATCCCAAGTATATGAAACTGCCAACCGTTTCTATCTTGTCATCCCCAACTTCCGAATGTTCCGGTATGATCATTTCCACTACCGGCCTTTGCCACCATCTACTTGGTCTTGGTAAAATTTGTCTTAAACCCATCTTTTCTGCCTCCGGGGCGAAGTTAAAAGGCAGACATGACAGCCCATCTCCTTATTGTAGACCTTGATGGCTTTCAAATGTTCTTGATAGATCTACTGGTGTTATGACTTTACAGGAAACCTTCCTGGGAGTTAAACGTGTCATTGGTACTAGGTTGGGCTGCCTTTGCTGAAGTATATTTATAGGTTCAGAAAGAAATCAAGTAAATTTTTTTTAAGTCCTCATACTACTGAGCAAAGGATCTGAGTTCAAGAAGAGTCCCTTGAATATACCTCTAAAGTCTTGGCGAAAACGCTTAATACACGCCTGTGCTGCCTCCTCAGATAGTTGACTAATAGGTTGTAATGCAGTTTTTATTATGACTGCGTGAATTAGTATCCTGTGCATTGCCGATGTATTTTGTTGCTCGTGTTGGGTTGGTCCAGATTTACTCAATTTACAACTTGTGCTGCTTGAACAATAATTTCGTCTTCTAAAGTGGAACGAAGCAATTCTGTTTTCCTTCTGTTACTCGTTTCATTGAATTTCCCAAACGATTTTCGAGGATGACCTGGCCGATATTGCGTAGCCACGGGAATATTAAATAGTCCTTCTAACCAGAGGTCACTTATGTGCTTTGGTGCATCTTGATATTGCTTCGCATTTGAAATGTGCGAAACTACTTGAAATTTTTTGTATCTTGTATGTTGGTCTTTTAACACTCTAATAGTTGCATGTCATCTAAGAGATGACGTAAACAGTCTGCCTGGACTAGCCTGTTAATTTTGCATCATAGAAAAAAATATATATATTTTGATATTAACCTAGTATGCCATGAATACCTAGTGTGACTTAGTGAATAACCAAATGAAGTGAGGGTTTGAAAATTTGCAGACCATCTTTTTTGCTACTAATTGACGTTCTAACTGCAAAATTTCATTATTTTGCATCACACGAAGATTTCAATGCCAAAAGTAATATCTAAACGATAACTTAAAGATAAAATTGACAGTTTGACATTTTTAATGACAAGTCAACCTCAATTTTTGCTACCAATTGACGTTCTAACTGTAAAATTCGATCATTTTGCATCACAAGAAAATTTTAACGTCAAAACTGACATTTGAATGACATATTGAAGATTAAATTACAATTTTCTTACAATTTGACATTCTTAATGACAGGCCAACCTCAATTTTTGCTACCAATTGACGTTCTAACTGTAAAATTTGATTATTTTGCATCACACGAAGATTTTAATGCCAAAAGTAACAACTAAATAATAGCTTAAAGACAAAATTGACAGTTTGATATTCTAAATGACATATTTAGCTTATTTTCTGCTACCAATTGACATTGTAACTATCAAATTTGATCATTTTGCGTCACAAGAAGATTTTAATATCAAAAGTGTCATTTGAATGACATCTTAAAGATTAAATTTACAATTTTCTTGCAGTTTGACATTCTAAATGACATGTCAAACTCAATTTTTGCTACCAGTTGACGAAGATTTTAATGCCAAAAGTAACATCTAAATGATAGCTTAAAGACAAAATTTAGAAGAAGAATTTTGGAACCAAAACAGTTAATCTGACTCGGTCCTGAAAGGGTTAAAGATCTCTAATTATCAAATACTTAGTTAAGAAGGAAGCTGCTTAACTGAGCGTTTTAAATAGAAATATTTAAATTAACACATTAATTCGTTTTTAACTTTTATTATAATTATATTTATATTTTTTTAGATTGAAGCACTGGACTTTGATGGTTGTTCAATAGCTGATTTAAGTATTGATTTTGTATTACCTGGTCATAATATAGAGTTGATGCGCAACGGAAAATCAACCCCAGTAACAATACATAACTTACATCAATACGTGAGCCTTGTATCCCACTGGTATTTATACGAAGGCGTCCAACGTCAAATGGAATCATTGCGAGAAGGATTCGAATCGGTGTTTCCGCTACAAAACTTGCGCATGTTCCAACCGGAAGAGCTGGAAGCAGTTTTTTGTGGAAGTCCCCGTGATACTGTCACCGGATGGGACGTGAAAACTCTGATGGAGTGTTGTCGGCCGGATCATGGATATAACGCTGATTCGCGTGCAATTGGGTTTTTGTTTGAAATTTTAAGCTCGTACGATCGTGAAGAACAAAGGATGTTTGTTCAATTCCTTACTGGAAGTCCTCGTTTACCAGTTGGAGGTAAGAAAGTTAATACATTCCAATCTTGATTTTAATTTTTTTTTTTTAATTAAGGTTTTAAATCGTTATCGCCCCCTTTAACGGTTGTGAGAAAAACTTTGGAACCAAATATGAATCCAGATGATTTTCTACCATCAGTGATGACGTGTGTAAATTATTTAAAATTGCCAGATTATTCGAGTATAGAGGTGATGCGCGAAAAGCTGCGCCTGGCGGCATCGGAAGGGCAGCATTCATTTTATTTATCGTAAAAAGGTCGGTATTGAAGAGTTAAAAAAAGAAACAGAATGAATTTAAAAAAACAATTAAAACTAGTGTAAATTATCTACTCCTACCGATATGATGGTGCAAAAATAATCATCAGAGGCATAAAAAAAAACTGAATATAATTTAAATAGTGATGTAAATATCGTTTTGTTCTTCTCCCCTTTTTCGATGATAAGAAAACGCGCCCTTTAGAGCACTGAAAAAATCGTTTACTTTGTTTCAATAATTACTAGTTTTTATTATAACATTTATTACATAGTTTAATGATTTGTGATGAAAAATGCGAAATGTACTGATGAAGCATCAATAGTAAATTTAGTCTGTTTTTTTTATTATGTTATGTAACTGTTATATTTCTCTTCAAAGGTTCTCCGCGAAGAATTTCGTTTATATTGTTTTATTTAGTTTGTCGTTTTTCACACCTTAATAACAATTTAGTAATTTTTTTCGCCATATTAGTGCATACAAGTTAAGTGTTTAAATAGAAAAAATATCCCATAATTATTATTTTATTGCTTCATATCAAAAAAAATCGGTTGTTACCAAAACAAAAAAAACAAGCTACTTTCTCATTTATTTATTTGGTGATAACACCCCGTAATCAAACTTATTAAAATCTCTTTTGTTACTATTGTGTTATTTCGAAGGGGAAACTTAGGACAAACGACCGTGCAATGGACGCTTTACGTTGTGGTGATAAGTGATATATAAGTAAACTTTAAACGCATCTATTAATAACGATGATAACTATTTTGCCAAACTCTGTATAAAAATAATATTACAATGAAGAGAAAATATCGCGTGGAAGATGGAGCGTTAAGAAAAAAATTTGTCGCGTATGGAAACAAACTTGTAACCCACCAATGATAGGAAGGATCCATTATGGAGATGTTTGGGGCTATGGAGCTGATTATATTAAGAGCTAAACAACAGCACCATACTCTGTGGGTATTATATTTAATTTAAAAAAAAAGTAGTTAAGTTGAAAGCAAGAAAGTGTAATGTTTCAATAAATTTGTATACTGCAATTCATGTTTTTTTAAATTTTACCAGTTAACTTGATTACAAACCCAATTTTAAGGATTTAGAACAATTTTGCAAAGCTTTAATCAGTTCTCAACCTCTTTGCACTACTTTTGAACAACTTAGAACTGTGGTGAATCAGTTTTTAATGATTTAGACAAAGTTGCAATAATTAACAAGAAGATTTCCATGAGTTTGAACAATTTTGAACAGTTGCAAGAGAGTTCTTTACTATTTAGACAAGTTTTCAATGATTACAAACCCGATTTTAATGATTTTGAACAATTTTGCAAAGCTTTAATTAAATCTCAACCTCTTTGCACTACTTTTGAACAACTTAGAACTGCAGTGAATCAATTTTTAATGATTTAGACAAAGTTGCAATGATTAACAAGAAGATTTCCATGATTTTAAACAATTTTGAACAGTTGCAAGAGAGTTCTTTACTATTTATACAAGTTTTCAATGATTACAAACCCGATTTTAATGATTTTGAACAATTTTGCAAAGCTTTAATCAGTTCTCAACCTCTTTACACTACTTCTGATCAACTTAGAACTGCAGTAAATCAGTTTTTAATGATTTAGACAAAGTTGCAATGATTACCAAGAAGATTTCCATGATTTTGAACAGTTGCAAGAGAATTCTTTACTATTTAGACAAGTTGTCAATTATTACAAACCCGATTTTAATGATTTTGAACAATTTTGCAAAGCTTTAATGAATTCTCAACCTCTTTGCACTACTTATCAACAACTTAGAACTGCAGTGAATCAGTTTTTAATGATTTAGACAAAGTTGCAATGATTACCAAGAAGATTTCCATGATTTTGAACAATTGCAAGAGAGTTCTTTACTATTTAGACGAGTTTTCAATGATTATAAACCCAATTTTAATGATTTTGAACAATTTTGCAAAGCTTTAATCAAATCTCAACCTCTTTGCACTACTTTTGAACAACTTAGAACTGTGGTGAATCAGTTTTTAATGATTTAGACAAAGTTGCAATGATTAACAAGAAGATTTCCATGATTTTGAACAGTTGCAAGAGAGTTCTTTACTATTTAGACGAGTTGTCAGTGATTACAAACCCAATTTTAATGATTTTGAACAATTTTGCAAAGCTTTAATCAGTTCTCAATCGTTAAGTCAACAATTAATCTAGATCTAGATAATAAAAATAACTAAGGAATTTGATGAAAAATTTAAACACAGTTCTTCAGCGCCATCTTTTGGTACTGATTCGACTTAAAAGTTAGGCATGACGTTAGATCTTGTTTTCTTGGTCTAATTTATAAATTATAATTCCTAATTTAGTAACAATTACCATGATTTTAACTATCAATGACAAACAACCATTTATTTAAATAAATTAAATATTTATTATACCAAACCACCACTACATATATTTTAATTAATTACGCTTAATACATTTAGATGTCGCCACAATTTTTTTTTTGACATTGACAGATTAGTCATTTTAATCCGTTGTTTATTTCGCATTTTCCATACTTTTGCGTTTTAAATAATGACTACGGCTGCAAGACCAACGTTCGAACCTGCCAGAGGTGGCCAAGGGCGAAATGAAAAAGATCTTAGTGCAATTTCTCGTCAATATTCAAGTAGAGATCTTCCAGGACACACCAAACTAAAATATAGGTTAGAATTAATTTTTTTCGTTTTAATCACTTAATTAAATTTAACTTGTTTAGAGAACACGGTCAAGGTACAACTGAAGAAGTAAGAAATCGCGATTTTCGTAAAGAACTCGAAGAACGCGAAAGAGAAGCCCGCGGATCGAGAGGAAATAGACCATCTTCAGAACAAACAAAACGTTTAAAACTCGATCAAGTTCCTGCGGCAAGTTTAGACGCGGATGATCCCCTTGAGGAAGATTCAGATTCTTCGGAGAGTGATGAAGATGATACTGAAGCTCTTTTGGCTGAGTTAAACAAAATTAAGAAAGAAAGGGCGATGGAACAGGCTAAAAAAGAGATCGAACGGCGACAGGAAGAAGAAAGGATACGAATGGAGAATATTTTAAGTGGAAACCCCTTATTGACACATTATTCAGCTGGTTCTGCTAAATCAGAGCATAAAGTAAAAAGGCGATGGGATGATGATGTCGTTTTTAAGAATTGTGCAAGATCCGAACCAGAAAAAAAGAGTAATGTTTTTATTAATGATTCGTTAAGATCAGATTTTCATAGGAAATTTATGGAAAAATATGTTAAATAATTTAATAATAATTAATGAATTGGTGTTTAAGTAATAAATAAAACTACATTTAATTTAAATTTTTGTTTTTAATTTTGTAAAATTTTAGGTTATTACTTTTTAAATAAGTGTAATTAAACAAATTTCATCAATAAAAAAACACTTTATTGAAAACTTTTTATTTAACTTATATTACAAAGAATATTTTTTTTAAATCGATGAGGGATACATCATCTGCAACAAATAAAAACAATTTAAAAGGAGTCATCACACAAGTTGCTAAATAAATAAATTATATATAATCAGTAATAAAATTTGACATCATTAATCAGGTTTCAAATGTCTTACAGCATCATTAAAAATAAATAAATTAAAATTAATAAATCTAAAATTGTTACTTACAATTCTAATACGATGTCCCATAGCTTTAGCAGGCAAATTTCTCTTAAATTTCGCCCTAACGGCCCCTGTGCATCCATGGGGTCTGGTTACTTTGCCCCAAATAGCCCTAACCTTACTTTTCTTACTTTTTGGTTTACCAGGAATACAAGTCTTGTTTTTCGCTTTATAAACGTACACGCACTTCTTTCCAACATAAAACCAACTGTCGGTCTTTTTCTCGCAGGCTTCAATCTTCAAAAGGGCCGTATTTTCGTGTTGATTACGAAGCCCACGTTTGTACCCAGTAAAAATCGCCTTCGCGTATAACCTTCCGTGTCGTTTCAACGGCCTCTTTTTCAACGTAGATTGTTCACCAGCGGGGGCTTTGCCCTTTTTCTCTACTTTCGGTTTTTTGTCGTCTGCCATCGCTGAAATAAACGTGAAAAATTAATCCTAACCTCAAATGATAACAAAACGTTCATCACCAAACATCCACAAAATGAAACCGTTTTTTTGAAAATTCTTAATGAAAAGTTATTTTTGGGAGGTTTATATTAAGGTTTTTGATGATATTTAAACGTATTTTTGAGGAATTTGGGTATAAAAACGATTTTTTTCGTTGATTTTGATGAAAGTTGCACTTACCTTACGTCAGGTTTGGGTAAAAGAAGTGAAGTTGGATGCGGTTGGAATTGTTTGAAGTTAGTTACAACAAGAATATTACTAGATTATTTTTGTTGTTTATTATTTAATTTGTGGTAATTTTTGTAATAATAATTATATCTAATAAGTTTATAATGAATAAAAATGAATGTAATAATAAATATATTGTAAATTAATTTTGGGAAATGTTTATTATGTAGTGCCATCTCCTGATGTAATATCTAATTAAATTTAAATTTATTTTTATTTATAAATATATTGTTTATTTATAAATATATTTAATTATAAATTAAATCCTGTTGGTAGTATAACCAACGTTGTGTATACAATTGTATGTTATAAATTAATTTTGAGAAATATTTAATATGTAGCGCCATCTATTGGTGTAATATATAATTAAATTTCAATTTAATTTATTTTTATAAATATATTATTTATTTATAAATATGTTTAATTATGAATTAAATCTTGTTTAGTTGTATAATCAACTTTCTATGTATATAATTCTATATTGTAAATTAATTTTGTGAAATATTTATTAAGTAGTGCCATCTCCTGGTGTAATATCTAATTAAATTTGAATTTAATTTATTTTATAAATAAATACATTTAATTATAAATCAAATCTTGTTGGTAGTATAATCAACGTGATGTGTATACAATTGTGTATGCACAAAGGGTTTTGATTGTTGTGGGCTATTGATCTGTAAGCGATAGTACCGAAACGTCGTTTGCACATGATTGGGCCCTCTTTAAAGGGCATTTAAGTTTACGTGGGGTTCTCAACGGATTATATGTATAGCAGAATCAAAGACCTTTGCGCCCCACTTCCTGGAGAACTACCTTATAACGTTATCGATTCCCTGTACACTCGAAACGTTGCATGTGCAACGGAATGAAAACGTCCAGAAAAACGAAACGAAATAGTATTTTTTTTTGCTTTTCGCTCCCGGTTTAAAACGGAAACTTATAATCTTTAGGTTCGCACGCGAGGTTTCGCATATAATTGAATTAATTTTCAGATTTGGCGAAAGATTTGAGAAGAAAATTGCTGTGGTAACACTGTTTTTATTCCCACATCTTCATCGTACGTTAAAAAAGAAACACTAATTTACCGATCGAGGTGAGTTATCACCCGATTTGATAACAATAACAAGATGGAGAAAAAATTGTTACTCGTTAAAGTAATTTTGAGCAATTTGCGATTTAATAAGACGTTTAAAGAACTTCACAAAGCTTTTTGAAAAGATTTTTTTAATTAGTTGAACTGGTCATGCGTCAAAGTAGAGCTTTTCAGTCCTATAGACACCTGTAGCGGAAAAGCTGCGCATTCACGTTAGTAGTTTCGGTGAGGTCGGGAGCGACTGATATCCGGTTATAACGTTCTTTTCGTATATAAAGCTTTTTAAAACAATCCGGTTTCATTCGAATCAAATATAATTGGGCTTAAATATTATTTTTCCAAACTAAAATCATCTCCGATCGGTAAGTTATTTTAATAATTAGCTTAATAAGATTAATAACTTAAATTGCATAATTTATTTTCGTTGAAATTAACTGTTATATGATAATGAGGCACGTGCATCGTGTTGATACACAAAACTCTTATCGTGTTAAAGTAGAGGGGCGCTTATCATTTAACTTTTGATGGAGAAATTCAAAAATCGCGATCCTTTGTTTCGCATTGCAAATTTAATTTGGGTAAAATCAGTAGTGAAAAAGGTAATTTTATTTTTTTTAAAATCAAATTTACATAAAATACGTATAAAATCGATACCGTTACCTTTTTTTCTTATTAAATCATCCTCGTTTCTTTTTCGTGCTTCCTTCTTCTTGGTTACCGATATGAAATTGAATTTGCTGAACTGTGTGTTGTTGTTGGCAACATTCAAAAATCGTTTATATTTTGTATACTAAAATTTGTATTTGTAACAGCTCTATATTTTTATTAACTAACTCTAGACCTAGAACTTAAATTCGGNCATTTCTTGAACAATCCTTTTGAAAATATCACCAATTATTAATTAAAGTATCCCCTTTTTAATGCAAAACGCCGTTTTGAAAAATCACTTTTAGTTCTTGAGAAATAAATTTTTGAAATGATCGACAATTTTAATCGCCGATTAAGTTTTAAAAATTCGTATATAATCCAGTTCTTGGAATATGAATATGAAAATATCCCAAAGTGTTAATAAAAGTGTGTCACTATCTGTTCCATCACTAATCTTAACCTATTACTAGTCTTTTCTGTAAGAGTTATCAAAAAATTTCTTTCTAATTTTATTTCTAGTAGCTCTAGTGTTAGTTGTGATTCAGTGTTAGATAATACTGATGAATAATTTGGTCATAATAAATTTATTATTGATACAGAAATTCTTGTTTTACTGAGGTTTGACTTATTCATTCATATATAAAAAACACTTCTTCTCAGTATCAAAATGTTTTATTATTTATATAATTAAAAACATTATTTTTTCTTCGACGTTTCGAGCATTTATTGCTAACTATCAAGAATATGTTCCTTAAGCGTTTTAAATTGTTATATTTAGTGTATCGTTTGTATTAGTTTGATGTTTTAATTTAATTTTAGGAACATATTCTTGATAATGAGCAATAAATGCTGGAAACGTCAAAGAAAAAATAATGTTTTTAATTATATAAATAATAAAACATTTTGATACTGAGAAGTGTTTTTTATATATGAATGAATTTATTATTAATGTTGTCATCTTTAAAGATATTAAAGAACGAATCTTCCCATCTACTTATTTTAAGAGTATCAAAAATGTAGTTTTTCGTTCCACTTTCTCGGTTATTCGATGTAGTACATCAAGAGCTTTTCACCCTTTTTAATGTAACGACGGATTTAAGTTATTTTCCCGGTCCTTTATACATACACTTCAAAAGCATTTTGTGTAGAAAATGGTGTTCGAAAGAATATTGAGAAGATTCTTTTTAATAAAATAAATTGAAATTGTTAAGTGAACGGCGCCGAGGGTTTTTGTTAAATTATTAATTCCGGTGCTCGTCAGCTTCCTACGGGGACTAAGTGGACAACTCCTGCGGGATTAATCGTGGAAACGGGTTGCACTTCAATAATGGAACGTCCAAATTGGGATTTAAATTATTGATCAAAGCGCTACAACGCTTCGCCAAAACGAGTTACACTTAATAATTCCTTTTTTAGGTCACTTTAAAACGAACCTAACTTTAAAACGTTCATTGATTTTCATCTAATTTATTTCCGCCTAATTTTCGAAACGCTTTTTATGTGCTACCTTTTAATAAATGCAAAGAGATCTTTTTATGGAAGATAATAAAAATTAAAACGTCCAATAACTCTTTTTATGAGATAATAAAAATTTCAATTTTAATTTTATTTCTTAATTTTAAAGTTTTTGTCTTCACCGTATTAATTCGTTATATCGAGATTTTTACTGGATTAATTAAAATTATTTGAACACCCTGTATTATATTAAAGAGATTTCGCAGCCGTAATAAGACAGTTAAATTGAATTTGCCCTGTTTCGATAAGCTTCACATTACGTTCAACACGTGTGTCAATAACGCTTAAAGCTCTAGCAACACCGTATATAACACAAAGCACGCCCAAGGCACCTTTAGTAGTGGGTAACCCAAAATAGACGATTTCGAAGTGATTTTGTATTAATTTACGGAACGATCATCAACTCAACGGTATTAAACAGCCTATGGTATTAATTTATAATTGTGTTGTATTAATTTTTTGCTTGTTTATCGAAAAAGGATTGCTTATTTTTTTGTTAATAAAAAAGAGAAAAATTTGAACGAGTTCATCGCTCTTATAAATTGTAAAAAATTCCAGCAGAAAGTCGTAAAGCATAAAAACTTTTCCACTGGAGCTTTACGTTTTTAGAAAGCTCGCATAAATCTACACGACTCGTCCGTATATGTTATATTTACGAGGTTTTATGTAAAATGTTACTTTGACAACTATTTAGAACATAAATTGATTCATGGAGTAAAACATTAAATATTGTACAACGAACCAGACAAATGATTTAATTGTTATGGGTTATTATAAAAAACATTGCTACAAGAATGTTGTGTTAAACTACCATGTTTTGGTAAATGTTATTATTAGTGGTCGAATTTAGCAATTTACGCCGATTAAGTTTTAAAAATTCGTATAAATCCATTTTTTGGAATATGAGTTTGAAAATTTTATGAATGCGGGGGAAAAATTAAAAATTCATTTTAATTTAAAAACTTAAAAAATGCATTTTAATTAAAAAAAAAATTGTAATCAAAGAAATATAAATAAACTTAAAAAAGACTGGAACAATCATAATCCATACTTCAGCAAAAATTTAAGGGAATAGTCGGGAATACTCTGGTCAGAAGGTTAAATAGCAAGAAAAAGTCTGAAATTGCAATAGTTATAAACTAGACTTCAGCAAAAAACAGGAATTACATTGTTCAAAGTCCTCATGAAGTCTCAAATTGCTGTTCAGATAATAAGAGGCTCCCAAAAAGATGATGATAGACACCCAGAAAGAAGTTGCTGTCAGCATCAAGAACAAAACATACATAACGTTGGCAGAAGACTAGATATTGCTTTTAAAAAACTAAATACTGCTTTCTGAAGACTAGATACTGTAGACAGGTCGAAATACAGCGTCTGGAACCCTAAATACTGCCTTCTAAAGACTAAAATTGCTTTGTGGAGACTAAATACTGCTTTCTGAAGACTAGATACTGCTGACAGGTCTAAATATTGCAAAAGAAAGATAAAATATTTTGGAGAAAACATACATAACTTTGGCAGAAGACTAGATACTGCTTCTAGAAGACTAAATACTGCTTTCTGAAGACTAGATACTGCCGACAGGTCTAAATAC